CAGTCCTCTGGTGGCCGGAGCGCGCTGGGAGGCTGCCGCCAATCCCCGTCGGGGGGGGCAAGGGTGCCCATGGGGAAGGCAGGGCGGGGCCAGGACCGGCCCTTCCCGCGCGCGCCGGTTTCCTGTCACGTGTCCCCGGACCCATCGCCCCGAGGGGACTCGGGCGGGCGCCTGGCCCCCGGCTCCTGGGGCAGAGGCTGCGCAGAGCCCGGGGGTAGCCATGGAGAGCGGAGAGGCCCTAACACCAGGGCTAGGCCGGGCAGTGTCCGTGTCCCGCGCGCTGAGAGCCGGGCCCCGCCCAGTGGCGTTAGCAGGCAGCAGCTTTTAAACAACCGGGGCAGGCTTCTCCTCACTCTGCCAGTCAACCTGTGGAACTCCTCGCCGCAGGGCTCACGAAGGAGCTCGACAGGCCCACGGCGGTTAGCCAGGAGGGGCAGGAATGGGGCCCTGGCCTGTTTGGAAAGGAGTGTCAGGGGAGGGCCCCGAGCATCCCCGCTGTATCCCTCCCTCTGGGGCATCGGGCTGGACGGGCTGACCCAGCACGCCCATTCTCATGCTCATTTCATCCTGTTCCCCTCAGATCAATGCTCCTGTTCATACAGGTCACTTGGAATTCTAATCTGAGCTCCCGCAGCACTTGTAACCCCTCCTAGCTTGTTATTGTTCACAGCTTTGTAAATACACTTTATATGCCATTATTTAAATAATTGATGAAAATATTGAGCAGAAATGTAGTCAGCGATGACCCCTGCAGGACCCTGCTCATGCCCTTCCAACATGACTGTGAACTTCTGATAACTACTTACTGGGCACTGCTTTCCAACCAGTTTTGCAACTACCTTCTTGTAGCTCTATCTAGATTAAATTTCCCAAGTTCACTTATCAGAAGGTTATGCAAGATAATATCAGAACTGGTCCTGGGGAGGCATATTGTCTGAAAGACCTTATTTATCCATTAAGTCCCAGAATGATTTTGTTTTCCACATGACAAGGAAAGCTGTATAGCAGAAATCTTTTCCTTGGTCAATGAGGGAATGAAATAAAATCTTGGTTTCCAAATACCATATTCACATGACAGATCATGCTAGAAACATAGCTTAAGGCACTACTGAAAGGACCATGGCGATGGGCACAGTATCAGAAATGGACAATACAAGCACAGTCTGCAAACTTTCTCTCCGTGCTTGAAGGGTTTTTCGTTTTGTCTCCTGCTATTTTGTGTGCCATATATCAGTATTGCACTAGGTGGCTTCCATCTATGTTCACAAAACAAGGAAGAAGGGAAAGCATAAGAGGAATGTTTCAGTGTTAGAGTATACATTAGGGATGTAAAATCCTGGTTAATCAGTTAAACGTTAGGTTGACCTAACATTTAACCAGTTAATCAACTAAGCAGAATCTGGACAGGACTGTTCCAGCTTGACTCCAGTGGGAGTCCACAGGACTCCCACTCCCAGCCTTGTACTGGGGCTGGCTGCCGGCCCCTAGCCCCCATGTTGGGGTTGGGAGTGCTGTTGGCTCCTGGCTCCCAGCCCCTGCAGGGGCAGCCCTTGTCCACAGAGGGCCAGGCACTAAATGAGGGGGCATTTGAACACACTGTGGTTATCACCTTAAGCGCTACTATTCTATTACTATAGATTAGTATAACAGAGCTCAAATGGTATATAAAATATGGTATAAAATACGTGAACTCACATCTAAGTACCCCCCCTTGAAGCTACAGCATCACAGAATAAAGGGTTAGAAAGGACTAGTCCTGCCAAAAGGCAGGATTTGTTGTGGTTAAAAAACAGATGGTGACCTAACCTCCGTTTTAAAACCTCAAGTGAAGGAGCTTCCATTTTTCCAGGAAGTTTTTCCTGAGATTTCATCTAATAGATCACCCTTTATTGGGTTGAGAAGACAATTCATTTTGTCATACTAACTTATCTCTAGTGATATGTGGAGTTAAAACTTTATTTCATTTTATTAAACCTGACCTCACTTATTTCTTTAAGAAAAGAAATGACCCGGGAGCCATTGTCTGATATTTGCATAACTGCCACATTTATTTCTTAACTGAACAATGCTGTAAATATACACAAACAGTTTAAGACCCTAGATTCCAACACTCATAGTTTAAGACATCAAGAAAACTAGACTCGTGACTTCAGTAGTCTTGTTATTATACAGTAGTACAGGGTGTGCCCACAGCAATCACTTCTATACAAAGCAAGAGAAATGGTCTCCAGCACGTAGGCATGGCATCACAGGAAGAACTCATGTGGACAAAGTAGATAATGGAAGCACAGGCAAAAACAAAACAAAAAACCCCAACCAAAATAAAATGAATCACAACCTTCTTCATTTACAGTAAGATCTTAATAAACTGAATCTCATGAAGTAAACAGTTCATTCATACATCTCACTGATGATCAGACAGAAAGAGAGAGAGACTAGAGAAAGGTACTAGACTTATGGGGTGCTGCTGTTTATGATATGCACCTCTCCTTCATTATTGGCAATGGCTGGAAATGCTCACATGAGCATCTCCAGTTCTCAGGTGCTGCCACCCACTTAAAACAGCTGCAGCTTGCTTGTTTTGAGGTCATTTTGGGGATAATTTCTCTATGGTTACAAGACTAGCAGTTCTCTGAGGGCCCTTTGAAGAGCTGGTATTTCTTCTTTTGGGTTTGAACATCTCACTGTTGGCTGAGGATCTTTAGGATGGGCACTCATAGGAAAAATTAGATATAGATACATGACTGCTTCTTGCATGATTACAAAAGACCAAGCAAACAAAAGCCCATTTATTTCAAAGATGTTTACTGAAAATAAACTTGTTCTGTGGAATTCTCTCATATCCCAACTTCCTGTTAAATCATGATTAACTTTGGTGACATCATTGTACCTCACTGTCCTCTGTTACACTAATGAAATAATACGATTCTATTACAGTGCAAGTGCTGTTACTTCTGAATCTGAGCTGTGTCACACTGAATTCAATGGGTTTTCAAATTCACATGTTGAAATTCACAAATTCTACACATGTTGAAACATACAGGATGACTTACCAAATAAAATCCAAAATGGGTGTTTCTCTTTCATAAGGACTCTGGGTCTTTTCCCTTGCCATTCTTACTCTCACAACACAGCTTCTATGCCTTAAGTTTGACTGAAATGTCTTGGCCTGTTTAAGCTAAGATCAAGTGTTTACTCAGTCTCATGTTTAAATCTTGAAGACCCTTTTCATCCTCAAATTCAATGGAAAGAATGAAGAATGGAATTTAATCTCAGCCACTCTAAGTGCTGGGGCATGTACCATCTACTTGAATTTTTGAGAATGCACGTCTCTCTCGGGCGGGACGCTCAACAGCAGGGAAAGTAAGTGAGGAAAGGTGTGGGGGTAAGGTATAGAGGAGGTATGAACTGAGATTCTTTAGTAATTCCCTCAGATGGGCACTAAAGAAAATAACCCTGTTGAAGGAGCCATATGAACAGCAGATGGCTGCTATTTGGCTATTTTATAAGGAGCCAGGATTCATCCCGTAAGCAAGCCTTACTCCACAAATACAGATATTTGCATCTGTGGCCTGATCCAAGCACACTGGTGTCAGGGGAAAGAGATCAGACCTTAGTCTCTAACTCAGAACAGTTGCGTGCTCTGCAGGTTTGCTGGCCTCAGGCACACAGTACTGACTGAGTGAAACCAGGAGTCTTCTCCAGAACCAACCTATCAAGACCATGCTCTTCAGGATGGCTGACCTAAGGCATGACCCCATAGTTGTATCATCCCCACTCACCCTTCTTCTCTGGCCTGGCAGGCATTCCCAGAGAGCCCAACACTGGCATCCACTTCTTCATTTTTCTCCCATTGTCACCTGTGAGTCTCTGTTTGGTCCAAGACAAATACAGGCATGTACATAACAAAGCCTGATAACATACTCTTGCTGCCTTTATTCTAACCTATTCTAACCTGGGGAAATCGCTGAGAAGACTTGAATGGGAGAAAAAAGCCCCAGAAGACCAAGAATATCTTGATTTACCCTTAAAATCCAGAGTTCAGATGGGATTAGAATGGAAACTTAATGAGTCTGTTTTACCAAATCATGTTTCCTCAGACTGGCTCCAGAAGCTGCTGGATTAAACTAGCTATTGCTAGGTTTATCCCAGCTATTCAGGACATTTCTTAGAAACTGCATCTAAAATACCAGTTTTGCCTATAAATTGTGTTGAAATAAATACTCAAGCCAAGTGGTCTTTACCAAGGGCCTGATCCAAAATCTACTGAAGCTGACAGGAGACTTCCCATTGGTCATCATCAGGGCCCCAGGGATGGCTCTATTTGCCGCTGAAGCAGAGATTGCTGAAATGTGTTTTCACCAGCGGACAGTCAGCTCTTTGAGTTGAGGTTTAGCAGTTAGAGCAACAGTCCTTTCTAGGAAAGCTCCCTTGTACTGTCAAGCAGAACTGGGAGACAAAACAAAGACTTAAGAATTAAAAAACCCTAGCACTTAAGACTGATTAATATGGATATATATATATATATACACACAAGGTCTTCCTTCAGCAATCAGCAAAAAACTGAGGCATGTGCTTAACTTTGTAAATGTGCTTAATTCCATTCCTTGTGACTTAAGCACATGCATAATTTTGCTTTTCTGGACAGGGATGGACATAAGCATGTGCTTATATGCTTTTCTGAACTAGGGTCATAATTTGGAGTCTTACAGTTTCTCATGGAGGGCAAAGCATCTTTCTCTATGTATATAATGCTAACACATTATAAAAGCACTTATCCCAGGCATTAAGCATTTAATTTAATTATTAAAATCAGTCCTAGATTTAAAAAAAAAATCCAAGTCCATAAGGAACAGCTGTAAAAACAAGAGACCGTCACCTGGGCGACCAAGTTACTGTCTGACCCACCAGCCCATGAATGAAGGACTGGCACAAAACTGAAGCTCACTGAAAGGGACAGGCACTGGCCACAGTACCAACACTGTTCCCTGCAGGAACCTGCAGTGCTATCCAGGTCTGTGAGGGAATGGAAGTGATGCCACAGAACTGGTCAAAAGCAAATTGGGGTCCAGCAGGAAACAAAAAGCCACTCGTCATACAATATGAGGGCTAAGCTAAATGGTGGCTCAATACAAATGCCCTGTCTCTATGCAGACTGGAGACAGAGGCTTGGGATGAATCTTTGTCCATGCTGCCGCATGGGGCGGGCAATTTGCTGTGAGCTTTTGTGTGCGTGACATTTCTATCAGCCCACTGAGATTGCATGGAGGCTTTGTTGGGGCTGCCTACTTTTCTCCTTGCTCCATGCCCTAGCCTCCCCAAAACAAGAAAAAAAGAAAGGAGAAATACAGAGCATAGGCCATCTCCACTTGACCCATACAGACAATACTCAACAAACACAACAGAGAGATTGGAAAAGTGCCAAAGAGAACCAAGGCGCAGCTGTGCTGTGCAAATTAAGGTCAGCTGTGAAGTGTGACAATGAAGCATGGATCGGTGACAGTTTTGGATAATGAATGGAGGAAACTCCCCATGTTTCTGCCTGGCGTTACATGTACACAACCACCTGGAAATCTTAATTTAACAATCTGGGTAATTAAAAATAAATTAAGATATTTGCTGCTTAAATTACTTTGAAAAGCTGATAGCAAGGTCACCACCACCTTATCAGGTCCTTGCCATGGGGAGAAAGGTTTATATGATGCCATAGCTCTGCTTTGGTGCACATCCCCCACCAGTTGAGCTATTCTATGTGTGCAATCTAAGCCCAATAGACAGATGGGGCAAGGGGAAGGAGGAGGAAATTAATGTTTGATATGGGGAAGGGGAATAAGAAAAAGTCATCACATATAAAAGTAAACAAAGTCTCAGTTTCTCTCATGCTTGCCCATCCCCATGCCATTGCTGCAAACAGAAGGGAAGGGAAGTAAAAGCCCTAGCAGCAAAGGGCAGTGAGACCCAGTCATCTGGTTCAAGATAGCTGGTCTGAATTTAGGGTCAGTGTAACATTATGATCTAGCTTTAATCCCACCAGTAACAATCCTTTCTTAACTCTAACCGTCTGCATAGATGTAACTATGCTAGCACCTCCCCAAGATTTGCCAATGAGCCAGCATTTGGCTGTAGAAGTCATCTGGTAGCGCAGCCCAATCTAGTGCTTGCTCCGTTCGACACTGGCTGCAATCGTGCCCAAGACAGGGCTGCCATCTCTCTCTGTATTCCTCTGACTGGCAGGACGCAACGGCTCCTGCCCTCTCCCCAGTTCCCAACTGGGTGGGGCTGCTCAGTGAAGATTCTTTAGCCCCATCTACAGTGCGAGTCCTTTTGGAGGTTTCCCAGCCAGAGACTGGCACTGTCAAGTCTAGGGCAGAGATTAACACAGCACAGCATAGCCGGCCTGCATATCCCTAGACCGTGACCAGGCTATCAGGAGGCAGGCTGCACTGTACTCATTTGGCGTGTAAGAAAGCACTCTGCTCCAGAAGCGGCCTGGCAGAACCACCCGCCCTTCCAGTCCTTTCACCCCATTTGAAGCTGGGCCCTGAAAGCAAACAGAATAGAGACAAGAAACCCAAACCAAATCTCCTGGGTAGAGCCAAGCAGACCCTGTCATCCTGGCATTCCACCGGTCTAGTCACTGAACCGTTGCTGGCTTTCAAGCCTTCGGGGGAATGGAGGGGATGGGATGGGGGCTGAAGGAAACAGGGCAAAGCAAATGGAGAGGGGGTAGGCGCGAGAGTTCTGAAGGCAGAGTGTATGTATGGCTGCGCTCAGCTGGGAGCTGCTCCTCCTGAACCCATCCAAAACACTCACTAGTGGGGTTTGAGAAAAAAGACAGGGATGGCATCACAAAACAGTCAGATAACCTCCTCCCCGCTGGCCCACCTTCCAGGGCTCTGCCTTCCCTAGGGGAAGCTGTGTGTGCAGACAGGAGCAACAAAACAAGATAAACCCAACATACAGATTGCAGTGCAGTCAATAGAAATAAATACTTTATAAATATAATCTCAAACTACTGTAACTTAATCTACCTCTTTTAAAACGTCAATGCGTTAAGAAATGTCAGTACTTAACCCTATCGCTTTCTCTTCACCCAGAAGCAATTCCTCGTGACTTGTAACCTCTGACCATTCACACACTCCTGCCTCCTTACATTGAAGCCTGGCTTTAAAATACAAAACATAGCACCTGCTTTCGAGAGTTACAGGCCATGTGACACCAAGGTAACCCAATCAAGAGATGGGCATAAAATCACATGAGCACAAGAAATCACAGCCAGACTGTGTCAGGGTTTTGCAGGTACACCAGAAATGCATTTTCCCAGTGAAGGTGTGATCGTAATGGATCCATTTGTAGAGCAGGCAGCTGGGGTGGTGGATGGCATGAAAGATTTGACGTTAATATAGGAACTCTTGTATGAGAGCCAGCCATCTGGATCCTGCTGGCAGACAGATGAGGTGGAGAATGGTTTTAGATTAGATTCTCATCTGGGCTGTTCTCCTTCTGGACAGCTTGGATCTGTTTTGGAAACCAGGAGACAAAAGGAGTCAAAGGACTGGAAAAGGAAGCAGAGAGGAAGAAAGGGAGGGAGACAATCTCTTTGTCAGGGCACATCTACGCAGCAGGACAAAAGTCAAATTAAACTACACAACTTGAGCTACGGCAATTGTGTAGCTGAGATTGAAATAGCTTAATTTGGCTGTTGGCGCTGTCTACACAGCAGGAAGTCGAAGGAAGAGCACTCTTCCTTCGACTGCCCTTACGCCTTGTGAAATGAGGGGTACAGGAGTGGGTGCAAGAAGTCCTCCAGCTCAACATTATTTTGAAATAATGGCTTGCTGTGTAGACATGATCTTGGTTATTTTGGAATAACATCCGTTATTCTGAAATAATGCTGCTGAGTATACATAACCTCAGAGACCCTAACATGGAGGTAGAAAGAGGTGCAAGACAAGGCAGAAACTATGTGCTGAATTAACATCAGCAAAAACCAGACCTCACACACAAATAGTCTGGTAGCACTTTATAGACTAACAAAACATGTAGATGGGATCATGAGCTTTCGTGGGCACGGCCCACTTCTTCAGATGACCGGAGTTATGAGTTGGGGAAATGAGTTTGTTTAGTTTAGAAAAGAGAAGACTGAGGGGGGACATGAGAGCCGTTTTCAGGTATCTAAAAGGGTGTCATAAGGAGAAGGGAGAAAACTTGTTCATCTTGGCCTCTGAGCACAGAACAAGAAGCAATGGGCTTAAACTGCAGCAAGGGAGGTTTAGGTTGGACATTAGGAAAAAGTTCCTCACTGTCAGGGTGGTCAAACACTGGAATAAATTGCCCAGGGAGGTTGTGGAATCCCCATCTCTGGAGATATTTCAGAGTAGGTTAGATAAATGTCTATCAGGGATGGTCTAGACAGTACTTGGTCCTGCCATGGGGGCAGGGGACTGGACTCAACCTCTCGAGGTCCCTTCCAGTCCTAGTATTCTATGATTCTATGACCCTTTGATTTGTGTGACAGAAGCCTGTTGGCGAGCATTTCAGCCTGCCAAACCACAGTCTGACAGACCTGCAAGCAGCTGTCTTGTCACAAAATCAGCTCCATAAGCCAGATCCAGAGGGAGGCCCTGGAATCCCAGTTCATCCTCAAATTCAATTCACATGCTAATGGACTCAGTGTGATGTGGGCTGCTGGTGACTCTACGTACTGAATAACCACTGAAGGTGCTAACAGCTCCCTGAGCGGTACCCTTCCTGTTTTAGGAATCTATCTATTGATTTTGATCTGCTTAGGTTTAAGTACCCATTCTCCAGATACTTAATGATGCTCTATCTCCCACCCCCTCCCTTTTTCTCTCTCACCCCTCCCCTTCCCCTCTCCTATTTATTTCGAGTTTTCATATCCCCAACTCATAACTCTGGTCATCTGAAGTGGGCTGTGCCCACGAAGCTCACGATCCCATTGACATGTTTTGTTAGTCTATAAAGTGCTACCAGGCCATTGGTTGTTGTTTCTTCGGTAACAGACTAACCCTGAAACACCACTCACAGTTCATCTAGTTCATCTGTTCTTGAACTCGATGAACTATGCAGCACTCAAATTAATCAAATGGAGGGTGGGTAGGTAGGCATGTTTCTTTATACAGTGACTACAAGACATGTCTATTTAGTCACTTATTTATCTATCTTCTTTTAACTCTACTACTATAATGATGATATTTTATTCTTGGGATTAAGGATCAGATCCTCAACTGCTATAAAATAGGGTTAAAAAAAGCACTAGCTACAGTCATGGAGCACAGGTCCATCAATGGCCATTAGCCAGGATTGGCAGGGATGCAGAACCATGCTCTGAAGTATCCCCAGTCTCCGTTTGACAGAAGCAGGGGATGGGCGACAGGAGATGAATCTTGTGATGATTCCCTGTTCTGTTCATTCCCCCTGGCATTGGCCACTGTTGGAAGACCAGCTACTGGGCTAGATGGACCACTGGCCTGACCCACTATGGACACTCTTATGTTCTTATAAATCAGTGCAACTCCACTGACTTCAATAGACTGATGCCTAGTTGCATCAGCTGGGGGGGGGGGGGGGGAGGAAACAGTGCCCTTGTCACATTAAGGTGGCACAGCTGAAATCAAAGTTAAAATGAATTTCTTAAGACTACACAGAACAATGAGACCACCAGAGAAAGGCTCTTGCAACCTACCACCATGGTATCCCCCAGTCCAACCACACTACTAAACCAGCATCCTCAAGGGTCAGAGCTGTAGAGAAACCCAATTGCTCTGGGATCTGAAGCAAAAATGTGGATTGTCCATGAAGATAGAGTAGAACATCACCAGGTTCCCTACCCTCAATTTTAACACCTACATGATGCAGTGTCTGCATCTGCATAGAGTCTGTGAAGCAGATTGGGCTACATAAAAGCACCATTGCTTATAAAACTCAAATGCTGCTGCAGGCAAGGAAGAAGCCTTCACCATCTGATATGAAGTAAATGTGTAAGAGGCTGAGAGTAGTACCATCTCTTTGTTTGAAAGGCATTACATCAGGCCTCTTGTTGCAAGGCTCCTGAGCGGATGTGGATGGAGAGAGGAGTCTCTGGGAATTACCCTAGCTTGCTCATTTGATGCTGCCAACCCCTTGCACTAATGCTGTAGTCCTCAGACGGCAGGCCTTGCTCCCTTAACTCCACCTTCAAAAGCATGTGGAAGATATTTGATAACTGGCTAGGAGGTGGCATCACAGAGCAGTTTTGGGGAGCAAGGAACCAAGCTGGATAATCAACACAACATTTCTGCTATCGCAGCTCAGAGGTTACTCAGCAGAGCACCCCTCTTGCTATAACATGTCCTCGGGTACTACCTTATGGATCCAGCCAGCAGAGGGTTAAACGCGTACAGCCAGTCATGCATGTCCTTGTCGCTGCTTGCCTGCAACAGGATTCCGCGATGCTCTGTGCATACTGCAAACGTGTTGGGGGTCTGGAACAGATCAAAGCCAGGACTGAGTCCCCAGGGCTACTGGAGATGACACTGAGGAACCTGCAGCACAGCTTGGAGCACGCTGGGACACAGAACAGGACCCCGTACACTGGTGGGGCGGGGCAGGGCAGGCGCTATCAGTATGTACCACTTCCTGGAGAGTGAAATCCCTCTGCATTTCTGAACAGCCACAGAGAAGAGCTCTGTGGTGCGAGAGTGGATTTCGACACCACGAGACCACGTCTCATTGTTCAATGTACAATCTCCTCCTTTGGCACCCCATGCCAACCCGGGAACTAGGGGTAAGCTGTGCAGCAGTGCGAGATCTCCCCACAGCTGGGTTTGCAACATTCCACTGTGCTCCTACTCTCTTCTCCCTTCACCCCCATGTTCTGAGCATCACTCTTCTCTTCTCCTCCTAGTTTCTGACCCCTGGGTCTTCCTCTGTCCATGGTCCAGAGCCATCGTTGCAGCCCCTCCCTTTACATGGCTTCAGACGTGTGTTGCCCTTACACTTGTAGCACACTGTGGGCATCAGCCGTGCTTCCCCTGCTTTGCTCACGGATGTCACCCCCCAGCAGTTACCTTGAGCATGGCCTGCTGGTCCTCGCTGTACTCCACCTGAGCAGAGGAGAGGTTGAGGATGGCTCTCTCCACAGAGTCCTTATCCGTGTTGTAGATGTAGACATAGGGGCGCCTCACCACCACGTAGCGCTTCACCCAGCCATTCGTGTGTGGCTCGAGGAAGTGCAGGTAGCCTTTCTTCGAGACAATGGGGCTGCAGAAGGCAAGACTTAGTGACTGCAGAAAGCCACCCAGCAAAAGGGCTAGAACCGCAAGGACTATTTCCTACTCTCACTCCCCTCCTTCCTGCAAATCCCTCCCCTCTCTGGACACAGATTGCCAGCCACTGAACTGGGCACCCCTCTCTGCACTTAGCAGCAACTTCTCTGAACACCTTCCCTATGTTGGGAAGGGCCACTGGGGAGGGAGCTGTGTGTGGTGGTGGAGATACCTGCACACTCTAGCATGGAGCACTCCAGCCTAGCCCTAACCCTAACCTCCACCTCCTTCCGCCTGCCTGGAGTAAACCAAGTGCTCATACCTCACCCGGATCTCCTGGATATCGGGGACCAGTAAGCGCTGGGTCTCCTTCTCCTCCTCAGGCTCACGCGTGGGAGATTTCTTCTGTTCCCCTTCCACTATTGGTTCTGGCTCAGGGCTTTCTGCCCTGGACGAGAGAAGGGAGGTTCTGGAAGGAGAAGAGGGGCATTTCATTACAATGATGCCTTCACTCTGACTTTGGCCAATAGCCATCTCCGATCTTCTTCTGAAAACTTGCTAAATGGGTGTGCATGGAAGTGAATGAGTGGGAGCAGTGGATCGGCCTAGGCGCTGCTGTACCCTGTGGCCATCCCCCCCAGCAGAGTACTGTCCCTGCTCATCCCTTCTGGCCCTCAAGCCTTCCACAATGCTGGCACGGAGTCTCTTCTGAACAGGAACCGACAGTTCTGCCAAATCTGTGGTGGCTTAGTGTCGGGCCTAGTGAACAGGCTGACCCAGCCCGTGCGTCCTAGGGCCTCAGTCTTCATTTTCAGCCCCTCGGTGTTCGGGCTGCATCTCTCTTACCTGACCTCAGTGGCGTTATACCGTCCTTCTACCAGTGATGGGCAGGTGGAAGAGGGTGTCAGGGTAGTGACACCAAGAGCTGGCATGGAGGGTTCTCTCAGCAGGGTCACAGACATTTCTGATAGCTGCAGGAGGGAAGGAATCATTTCCTGGAGTCACAATCTAATCTAAGCTATAGGTAGGGCCCTACCAAATTCACAGTCCAGTATGGCCCATTTCACAGCACAGGATTTGAAAATTGGTAAATTTCACATTTTCAGCTGTTTAAACCTGAAATGTCACTGTATTGTCAGATGGGGTCCTGACCCAAAAGAATACTGTGCGGGGATTGGAGGGTTATGGGACTGCCAACTTCAGTTCTGTGCTGTCTTCAGGGCTGGACTCTGAGGGCAGCAACCACAGAGCGTCCTGCAGCCACATGAGGTCCAAGAGGTAGAGATGGGTCTGATCCCCCAACCAGGGACTCCTCACTGCTAGTCCTAGCCAACTTGGGAAGGATAATACTTGCTCTTCCGCTGCAGGGCAGCTCTTGGGCTACTCTCCCGGCTGCAGAAAGCTCTGCACCCCCTGCCACACTGGCTTTTTGCCCCCATTGCTCTGCAGCTGCAGGAGGAGGGGGTAGTGACCAGTGGTACCAGGTGCATCCAGATACAATTAGTAGCTTGTTTCAGTGAGATAAGGAAAGGTCTTGTGAATCTAGACAGGGTTTATTGACACTTCACAGCAGCAAATAACACTCAGTGTGCTCCAAGTAGCACAGGGAAGATTTGATCCAGGTGCCCCCTTTTCTGGGGGGCTCCTCGGAACAAGGAGACATCAGAGTTCACTGCGAAGGGCTCATTTCACAGTCTGTGACATGTTTTTCACAGCTGTGATCTTGGTAGGGCCCCAGCTATAGGGAAAGCCCTGCACAGATATAAAATGTTGTTATCTGCATTATATCCCATGGAGATCGGCATTCAACTTCGCGGATGCAGCTATCTGTGGATACAAAGCAGATATCTGCAGATTTGCAGGGCTCCAGCTCTAGGACATGGGCCTGGGGTTAAAGGCCAAAGTCTGGTCTGGTGAACTGAAGACAGTGGAGTTTCATACCAGGGATAAGAAGACGGATCTGGCCCTAGCTCTCGCTGCAGAGAAAATTCCTCTTCCATATTTGCATGGTTACTGGGGCTTTTGAAAGCTGCAGTGAATAGATGGGGGACAGGCTCTCAAAGTCAGTACGATCCCCAGAGGAGAAGGGAGCTAGGGCGTTACGAGACAGTTGAGAATGCTAACTTTTATAGCTCTTGCCCTCTGGATCCAGCCAACATTTGATATACTGATGTCCTTGATGTTTCCCTGCAGTAAACCGGCTGGGGAAAGTTGTGCAGCTCTCTAGCACATGAATCTCCAGGGATGGGACAGGTCACTACTCCTTCCTTCTCCCCAGGCCAACCCCACCTCTCCCTGGCTGCTCCCACTGGACAAGACATCAGGGACTGGCAGGGTCAGACCGCTGGGCTGTGCTTGGAGGCTCAGTGGGGAGCTTTGTTGCAGAGGTGACTCTGGCCCGAAGTCCAGAGCATCAGTGCATCTAGGCTGGTAGCTGGGAAGATGGGTTCCTGGAGTGCACGTCACAAGGCTGTTCCCAGCCCTTCTCAGCTCCAGAGGAAGAGCTGAAGTCAGGCCAGGAGACAGGTATTGGGAGAAGCAACATTCCAAAGCAGAGGTGGACGGGGAGTCGACAGTCTGGACGAATGCAACATCATGCACCTCGCTGGCAGTGCCAACGGTGATACGGGACAGTGAAATGGCACCCCGAGGCCTGACCCATATTTCAGTGGGAGTCTCCTGCGCAGATTCTTGGTGCAGCCCAGGCCCAGAGCTCCCCACCAGAAGGTGTCCCCACTGACGAGGCAGGAAGTGCTAATGGGGCTGGGGAGCTGGTCCTACCTTGCTCTCACTGGCGCTGATGCAGACGTGGTTGTGACTGTACTCTCTGTTAAACGTGTGAGTGAGGAGACGCAAGCACTGCAGGGGAACAAAGGGACACATCCAGCTGGCACGCACGAGCCCTGCTCACGAATCTGTTCACATCTTCCAGACCTTCCAGGCAGGGTCAGACGAACTCTGGGGAGCCCAGGGCTATTCCATTTTTGTGGCGCCAAGAGGGCTGAGGGCAGGTGGTTGGGGGGGGGGAGTACAGGATCAGAATGTGGGCGGGGCTCAGGGCAGGAGGTGGGGATTGGGGTGTGGGGTCTGGGTGGGAATTAGGGAGTGGGCTCAGGGCAGGAGGTGCAGATTGGGGTGTGAGGTCTGGGTGGGAATTAGGGAGCGGGGTCAGGGCAGGAGGTGGGGATTGGGGTGTGGGGTCTGGGTGGGAATTAGGGAGCGGGGTCAGGGCAGGAGGTGGGGATTGGGGTGTGGGGTCTGGGTGGGAATTAGGGAG